CGGAGCTCCTCTTCTGGCTCCTCTCTTCTGGCTCCTTCCCCTCTTGATCACGCCGTGCAAGACTTTTTGTTCTGTTACTTGACCGCCAAGACCAACATATGCTTCCTGCTGTGATAGTCCAGAAGCAAGCGCGCCTTTTTTCTCCCATCCTCTGATGCACGTATCATTGGGCTTCACTCTGGCCAATCCATTCTTTCCCTGTGGAGTCTCGGTTCACTTCATACTCTCTTGACTTGCCAAGAAGGGCATGTCGTTGTGAATACTCGTTCTGCACTGCCACTCTCAAGTCTCGCCGGTCCAAGATTCTAGACAACATCAGCCTATACCTCTAACGCTTTTGAAAACTCTTCTTCCTCATCATCAGTTTCGTCTTGTGCGAGGACTTCTCAAGGTTATCTCAAACATGACGGCTACTGAAGGTTGATTATCCCGCACTACTCTCTTCAACTCCACACGCCATCCCACGGAAAGACGACTATCGCCTCTCGCCCGGAACCCCTCCTCTCTGCACTGCCCTCTTCTGCTGTCACCAATACACCAGGCACGCAGGCTGACTTGACGGCGTCGGTCTACACTTGAGAAACGGAAACTTTCTTCGACGGGGCTAAGGGCGCAGTTACGCCAAGGCTCACGGAAGTCTTCACTCTCAGCGTTTTGGAATTCTTGGTACGCCTTCGAGGCTCTTTACCTGGAAGGAACGCGAAGACCGTTCCGTACGCAAGTTGCCTCCTACACAGCCTTGTTGTACAGCTCGTGTGTTACCCTTCTGCCTTCTTAATACTCTTCAAGTCGCCGGAGGTTACACCAACTTCTGTCAACTTAGCTTCACTATTGTTGCAGACCATTTCTCTTTCCTCTTCCTAGAACTCTCTCCTCAACATCATTTTCACTCCTTCATGAGCAAGTCACAGCATCAACTCAAGACTACTCTGCATCGGTGCTAATGGCGTCTCTCGCACCGCCCCAGTTGCGCGTCGACACCCGCAATTCTCGCGGGAATGACAACGACGACGCGATAACACCGTCACCTATATCGACGCATTCAAACCCGTTTCTCACCCCGGCAATCAGCGCTGCAACAAGTATGCATTCAACTGCCTTAACGGAAGATCCGGATACAGCTCTTCACCCCGATCCCGGCACGGAAGGCGACTTTGTCGTCGATAATAATCCTTTTGCTTTTAGCCCTGGGCACCTCAACAAACTTCTCAACCCGAAATCTTTGGCAGCTTTTTTCGCGCTCGGCGGCCTGCGCGGTATCGAAAGAGGATTACAGACAGATGTCAAAGCCGGTCTATCCCAAGATGAGGTGGGCGTTGGGGGCAGAGTAAGCTTCCAGGAGGCCACCGGCCACCAGGAGCCCTCCTTCGCCACATCCGGTGCACAGCCATCAGCCACAACACACCACGCCGATGCCAATGGTTTCACTGACCGAACCCGAGTTTACGGCAAAAATGTCCTGCCTGCCAAGAAGGCGACACCCTTGTGGAAACTCATGTGGGGTGCATACAACGACAAAGTTATTATTCTGCTTACAGTCGCCGCCGCTATTTCGCTGGCGCTTGGCCTTTACGAAACTTTTGGTGCCGAGCACGACCCCGAAGAAGGTCAGCCGGTTGACTGGGTTGAGGGAGTAGCCATCATTGCTGCAATTCTTATCGTTACCTTGGTTGGATCTTTGAATGACTGGCAAAAGGAGCGAGCCTTTGTCAAGCTTAACGCCAAAAAGGAAGACCGAGAGGTCAAGGTTATCCGATCCGGCAAGTCTTACATGTTGAACGTCGCGGATATTTTGGTCGGCGACGTCATCCACCTCGAACCCGGTGATCTCGTGCCTGTGGACGGCATCTTCATCAGTGGCCATGATTTGAAATGCGACGAGTCCTCGGCGACTGGCGAGTCTGACGCTCTCAAGAAGACAGGCGGCGATGCCGTCTACAACGCCCTGCAGTCTGGTAACGCTACCAAGGACCTTGACCCCTTTATCATCTCTGGTGCCAAGGTTCTCGAGGGTGTCGGCACCTTTGTCTGCACGTCTGTCGGTACCAACTCCAGCTTCGGAAAGATTATGATGTCGGTTCGCACCGAGATGGAGGCAACGCCTTTGCAGAAGAAGCTCGAGGGTCTCGCCATGGCTATCGCCAAGCTTGGTAGCAGCGCGGCTCTTCTCCTTTTCGTCGTACTCCTTATCCGTTTCCTAGCTGGCTTGGGCTCCAACAACAGCTCTGGTGCCGAGAAGGCTTCAACTTTCATGGACATCTTGATTGTCGCCATCACCATCATCGTCGTTGCTGTTCCTGAAGGTCTCCCGCTGGCTGTAACATTGGCATTGGCATTTGCTACTACCCGTCTATTGAAGGAAAACAACTTAGTCCGTATCCTTAGGGCATGCGAGACGATGGGCAACGCCACGACAATTTGCTCCGACAAGACTGGTACTCTGACCACGAACAAGATGACTGTTGTTGCCGGCACTTTCGGCTCTGCCAGCTTCTCCAAGTCGGTTGAGGGCGAGAAGACAACCAGCGCCGTAGAGTTTGCTCAATCACTTCCTACAGCTACGAAGAAGCTCATCGTCCAGTCCGTTGCCATCAACTCAACCGCTTTCGAGGGTGAGGAGGACGGCCAAGCCACCTTCATTGGTTCCAAGACAGAGACCGCCCTCCTCCAGTTCGCTAAGGACCACCTCGGGATGCAGGGACTGGCCGAGACTCGTGCCAACGAGGAAGTTGCGCAAATGATGCCATTCGACTCCAGCAAAAAATGCATGGGTGCCGTCATCAAGCTCTCTGGCAATGATGGGTACCGCCTTGTAGTCAAGGGTGCTTCTGAGATTCTCCTTGGATACTGCAGCCAACAGATCAACGTGAACGATCTCTCCATCTCGACTCTGGAGCAGTCTGACCGTCTCAACCTCGAGGCGACGATTGACGCCTACGCCAAGCAGTCCCTCCGCACCATCGCTCTTATTTACCAAGACTTCCCTCAATGGCCCCCTCAGGGCGTCAATGCCACCATCGAGGGACACGTCGATCTCGGAGACGTTCTCCACGACCTCGTCTTTGCCGGTGTTGTAGGTATCCAGGACCCCGTCCGCCCCGGTGTTCCCGAAGCTGTTCGCAAGGCCAAGCACGCTGGTGTTGTCGTTCGCATGGTTACTGGTGACAATGCTGTCACTGCCCAGGCCATTGCCACCGAGTGCGGCATCTTCACTGAGGGTGGACTCATCATGGAGGGCCCAGTCTTCAGGAAGCTCTCCGTCGAGCAGATGAATGAGATGCTGCCCCGTCTGCAAGTTCTTGCCCGCTCCTCGCCAGAGGACAAGCGCGTCTTGGTCACCCGTCTCAAGGCTCTTGGTGAAACCGTCGCTGTTACTGGCGATGGTACCAACGATGCGCCTGCGCTCAAGGCAGCTGATGTCGGTTTCTCCATGGGTATTTCCGGTACTGAGGTCGCCAAGGAGGCGTCTTCTATCGTGTTGATGGACGACAACTTTACCTCGATTGTTACGGCTCTGAAATGGGGAAGAGCAGTGAACGACGCCGTGCAAAAGTTCCTTCAGGTATGCAGATCCACACAACCTTTTCTAACCGGTTGAAGTTAACATGAGTGTACTCAGTTCCAAATCACGGTCAACATCACTGCTGTTCTCCTCGCCTTCATCACCGCCGTCTCCGATCCCGACATGGAATCCGTCCTCACCGCCGTCCAGCTCTTGTGGGTCAACCTCATCATGGACACCTTTGCCGCTCTTGCGCTCGCTACGGACCCCCCGACCGAGAAGATCCTTGACCGACTGCCACAGGGCAAGAAGGCGCCCCTCATCACCATCAACATGTGGAAGATGATCATCGGCCAGGCAATCTTCCAGTTGACTGCTACCCTGATCCTCCACTTCGCCGGCAACGCCATCTTCGGCTATGACGCCCACAACGAAGACCAGCAGCTCGAGCTCGACTCCATGATCTTCAACACCTTTGTGTGGATGCAAATCTTCAACGAGTTCAACAACCGTCGGCTGGATAATAAGTTCAACATCTTTGAGGGTGTCCACCGCAACTACTTCTTCATCGTCATCAACTGCATTATGGTCGGCGCCCAGGTTGCCATCATCTTTGTTGGTGGCAAGGCCTTCCGCATCACGCCCGGCGGTATCAGCGGCGAGCACTGGGCCGTCTCCATCGTCCTTGCATCCGTCTCACTCCCCATGGCCGTCCTCATCCGTCTCTTCCCCGACCCCTGGTTCGAGAAGATTGCAAAGACGGTCGGCAGACCTGTCGTCATTGTCTACCGCGCCCTCGGCAGGTTTTTCACCACCATCGGTGCCGCTTTCCGTCGCAAGAAGTCTACCGAAGCTGACGCCGCGTCCGAGGACGCTGGTGTTTCTTCGGGCTCTGATGACGCGAAGGTTGCTGCGCCCGAGATCGTCATCTCCACCCAGGAGGAGAACACAAACACCAGAGATGTTGAGAAGGCTCAGTGATCAGTCATCGTCGTTCATGATCCGCTTTTTCACCGAATCTCTATCTTGCACATACTTCTATTCCTCTGTTACATGTTACTAGCTACGATACCATCTAGTGCGGTTTTTTGTTTTTGTTTCTGTTTCCTTGGCACGATTCTACGACCGGATTTGATTTTGCGCAAGTACATATAACACTGGCGGCGGGTATTACAACATAATACACCAAAGACCAATCTAGTCTTGTTTCACGGGGCGTTCTTGGGGCTCGGGGCACCAAAATTCACGTGTGGAATGGTTCGGCACACTGGGACGGAGGGGCAAAACCTGTCATTACGGCATTAGAGAGCGATACTTGCATTATTGGTTACGATATGATACGATAGAATATGTTCGTCACTTGCAGATACGGATAGTATCCAGTACGATGAACGGAACAGAGCTTTTTCCACATCGACCAATCTCCAGTACCTTTTGAGTCTTGATCGTGAAATCTATTCGGTTCTAAGCTACGCTACGTAGATCATTACATGCCCCATTACGAACTGCTGCACGGAATATCCGTGGGCGAATCCGTTGTCGAGACCGTGAGGCCATACACACTCAAGCTCTCCGAATGAGGCTCCAACCTCGGCGTACCCTGAGCGTCCTTGAGGACCGTAAACGCCGCGCTCCCACTGCAATAATCGTCAGTATCATCATCCAAAAGGAACCTCACCTCGCACATGCAGAATCGGCAAAGAAACTTACTACGCCTGAGAACAGTTGCCCCCAACATACGTAGTCTGCACCACAATCTCCGCCACAAACGTCTTATCCGTCTCCGTCTCTCCGCCCACCGTCGCCCCCCGGATCAGATGCCACCACGACTTGTTCCCGTTCGGCGGGAGCAGCGACTGCTTTACGCTCAGCATGGCCGTGGCGCCCGTAAAAGTCCGCCCCGCGAGGATCATCTTGCCGTCGGCGGGCCAGAAGTTGGTAAAGGTTGTGGTGGCGGCTTTGTCTTCCGAGGTGCGGTAGTATTCTGAGACGAAGTCGGCGAAGGCGACGTCGACGCCGGCGGAGGGTTTGTAGGGCGCCATGTCGACTGCCGCGGCGAGGGTTGCTGTTAGCGGGAGGAGGGTTGAGGGCTTCATTTTGAGGTGATGTTTGGTTTTGCGGTAAAGACTGGGCTTGTTGAGGGAACACGAAGTCTACGAGTTGTGGGATTCTCGAGGGGTCAACGAATACTAAAGCTTGTCGCCAGTTTCAAGACATTTGCCCAGCTCTTTAAAGCCCCGCCTTCGATCATACCAAGTCCGATCCAGAGCCCCGTCTGACATGGGGGTATCTCAGAGACTCAGGCGGTCAGCTTTCCCCCTCGTCGGCGGCACCGGCCCAGCCGGATGCTCCGAGAAAAGGAAAGGGGCGGGCGGCGCGGCGTTCTGCGGGAACGGGAGGCCCTGGGAAACCTTCATCCCATGTCCGGCAGGGTGCACCCCAGCTCGGGCTCAGCTTTTCCCGTATATCTGGGGACGATTTCGCTGGTACCGCAGGGACTTTTGGCGGGCAGTTCATTGATTAGTCCTGAAAGACGCTGGTGCTTGCTTATGGATCCCGCAACATCTCCAGATGGTCGTCTATTAAGGTTTAGGACGGACCGGTCAACTTGGGCCGAAATAAGGGGCGAACCGACCGCAAAAGTGCAGTGTTTGGCATATTGCCCACTCAAAGAGCCTCTCGCTTTCGCCGTCCATGGGAACCTGGGCGCTTATGCTATCATAATTATACAATTCGTTCTGTCGCGTTTAGATCTTTTGTGCGAAACACCGATAGTAGACACAGCCCTGCGTTGACTAACTTACCCACCTAGACCCGTCGGTGTAGACGATCAAGACGCATTCCATGTTTCTATAAAATCCCACCGGCCCCATTCCACGAGAGCCTCATTATCACTCGACCAACTTTAAGCATCACCCATTCCTTCCAGAGCGCTCATAAAAGTCACTCTTTTTTTTTTTTTTGGTCCAAATTGTTTGCACATCATAATCTCAAGATGCAGCTCACCCTTGCCCTCCCCGCCCTGCTGGCCGCCCGCTTCGTCGCGGCGATTGACTTTACAGACTACGATCCTCAGCCCGGCGTGCAACCCGAGTTCAAGGCCTTTCTCAATGCGTGAGTGGCATAACAATTCCCTAAAACGAGTCTCCTCGTTTGAGAAACGGATATTGACGTCTGTGATGCGTAGTCTCGTCACTCCCGCAGAAGATCCCACCGCCACGACGGCATACACCGACTTCTTCACCGCGGACGGCATGCAGACGACGCTGAGCATCCACTGCGTTGGCGCGGATGCCATCACCAAGTGCAAGCAGCGCTTCTTGCCCACCGATGGCAGCATGTCTCTTACTGTATGTGAAACCCTCCTATTCTCTATGCATGTATCCTGGGTGCATGCAGTATGTTTGAATCGCCTGTACTAACAAAATGGGATAGCACTTCCCCAATACGACGTTCATCGCAGACAACAATGCGACGGCGACTGTCTATGAGGCTCACGGACGCATTGAGAACAACTTCAAGGCGGGCAACTGCTCGCAGATTTAGTAAGTCAAAAATGAGGCTCAATTGAAAGTATTACGAGTAAGAAGACGATTTTCTGACCGGTTTGACTTTTAGCTACAAGACGCAGTACACTGTGCTTAAGACTACCGAAGGTGTTGATGCGGTGCCGAATTTGTCTACGAAGCCTGAGCACCAGGTGTACTGGTACCATGACTACTTTGTCAACCCGACGGGGGTGCCCTCCAACATCCCTTGCGATAGCTTGAAGGCGTGATTATGGAACATGCTTTCCTCTATTTGTAGCACAATAGCAAAGCGTTCTATCATGTGAATATCTGAATGAAGTAGACTACACTATAAGCCGCCCGGTGTAATTATTTGTAACTTGCGTGTCGTCATTGGCGAAAGAGATGTCTTCAGCTGCTTCTACGGATACACCGAGTCTCTTCATTTCGGACTACAGCCGCAATCGCCTAGAACTCCCGCCTTCTTAGAGTGGTCTACAAGTATGACGCAAGATTTACTAGGCCTCGACCCGGCTCTCACATCAAATCAGATCCTATCCAGGCCTCACAGACTTACTACAAGATGGCTTCAGAATGTTTATATCCCACTATGAGGGCACGGCGAGACTCTCCCAGTTGAGGATCGCTAAATGGCAAAAGCCTCTCGGATTGATTGTTCGTTTTGTACAACCATGTAGTTCCCAAATTATCCCACCGGCTTCACAGAAGCGAAACTCAAAATCATAACTTTATATCCGCATCTCCGGCTTCCATGCCAGCCCTCTCACACGCCCCCAGTTTTCGTCTTTCTTCTGATCCGGAGCTTGACCCCGTTTGGCGGGAACAATGCTTCTGTGAGCCAGTAGTTCTCCGGACGCTTGCCATTGTATTCGGGCGGGAATTCTACATCATAGTGGCCCAAAACATAGGCGATGATCATCTTCAACTCAAAGTCGATCAGAAATCGACCGGGGCATGCGTGCTTTCCGTGCCCGAATGGCAGATACTCGGGGCTCGTGGTGACAAACGTGACTGGGGGCGCCTTCTCGTCCTTTGCGGCTGCATCTTCACGCATACGGGAGAAGCGGAAGGGGTCATATTTCAGCGGGTCTTCTAGCACCTCGCCATCCGTCTGAGCGGGTTGCCCGAGGAAGGAAATGAGGGTTCCCTTGGGGAGATGGTAGCCTTCGGGGGTCTTGAAGCCGTCTACCAAGACTTTCCGGAAGACGGCACGTCCGCCGAAGGAATTCAGGCGCAAGGTCTCGCGAGCGACGCTGTCAGCTTTAACCATCTTGCTCACTTTCGCTTTTGTCCAGTTGTTGTCGCCATCAGCGTACAGTACACGATCAACCTCGTCCCTGAGAGTCGTGATGGTGTTGAACTCCGTGTCTGACCCCAAAATGTTGAGAAGCATGTTCGTGGCTTGGATACTGGTCTGATGCATGGATCCGAAGTTGGCTGCGATCAGACGGCGCGTCATCATGTCCAAATCGTTGAACTCTTCTTGCCGGTGGTCCTTGGCGTAACGGGCCATCATCTGCAGATGGTCTTGAGGCTCAACGTGGTCCGGGTCATCGCGAGCGTACTTCAGAGTTTCGAGACGCTCCTTCCAAAGCGGCTCGAACATTTTCTTGAGTCTGTTGATCTTGCCATGTATCGTAAAGTTGACAGCCCTACCTACAACAGGTCGAAGGACGCGAGGGCTGGCTCCGGAAGCGCCGGCGTTCATGATGAGCTGGTTGATGATATCGAAGTTGAGATTGAGGTAGTCTTCGTTACGGCCTACTTTCCGTCAGCTTGATGTCTCTATGCAATCGTCGAACCGGAGGGTACTTACAAAGGCCCAGGCCCGGGCCGATGGTGAAACGACTAGCTGCCTGCGCAACGACCATCTTCAACGACTCAAATAGGTCGATTTCCTTCCACTCCGGGTTGATTCCAAACCACTTATCGAAGGCGGTGCCGAGCTCCTCGTTCATGGCGGCGCAAATGTTCTCCAGGATCGCATTCATCTCGGTCTTGACCAGGTGTCCTTGCCACGCATCCACCACATATCGGTCGTGGCCAAGAGCCCAGTGAACTTGATCAACTTCTGCAAAAGCGGTGCTGGGATCGAGCTGACTCTCCGGTTGCGTCTGGACCCATCGCATCGAGCTCGTGGGCATGATGACCTCATGGCGGAAGCCGATGCCTGGGATGATCACTGGTTTGCCCTTCTTTGTGTACTAGATCCAAAGTTAGCAAACTGGGGAATGCGTGAAGACTAAGGAAGGATTTACATTGTCGTAGGCCTCACGGAACAGACCCTGACAGTCCGTGTAGAACCGCAAATACGTGCGGATGCTGAATCGTGTGGCACCATCAGGCTCGCCAATGAGTGGGATGCCCTTGGGGTAAGGGATACTGAGAAACACTCGGCTGATAATGTACAGCAGAGCTATGGACCCGAGCGCGAGCAAGCCGACGCCTGACAAGCTGGCAACTGGAGGCAGAAGCTGCGATATGGGTGCCATCTTGGTTCGCAAAGGCAGACAATGAAGATGTCGTGGTGATTGAGCAAGAGAGATGTAGGACGTAGTTCACCACATGTTTGGGCGAAACGTTTGAGCTTTAAAGGGGTCCCTAAATGCTGACAGATTCCATCCCATCTGCTGGCTAGCTAAAGTAAAACATGCTGGTTGGAGCTGTGAGCTGTAGAGTTGGAGGCGGTGGGCCTGACAGGGAAGCTAAACAGGGATGATGGTCCTCGTAGCGCGCCCGCTTCCATGTAGTCGATGGCGGTAATTTGGATGCCTGGGCTTCATAGGGCTGTCTCGGATCCCGTGGGAGTAACTGAGTATCTTCCGCACTTTACGAGTATGAGTGATGGTCAATATGAGTCTCTCTTTGTCATATTGCATCAATACATGTGCAAAACGCAGCATCATTACTTCAATAACTCCAACTAGCCGGATCCTTGGTGAGTATGAAATAAGGTTGGTTGAACCAAAGCTCTCACAACGCCCAAAGCGCATGTATTTGCACTACGCATTTCATCACCTTCTCTGTCGCCCATCTCATGCTCCAAGAAGGATAGCAAATGCCTCTTCTACTCACAAAGTCGAGTCGAAATCCGTACCGTCTACGGCTATCCTCACCCCAGCAGAGCCTGCCCAGACCCTGATCCTTAGCGTGATGTCAGCTCACAGAGTTCCCACACCACGCCCTAGCGCGTGTAAGCAGCCACTCTACCGTAAAAGGAAATCCGCTTTCTCTCACCTGCCATTGGGCGAAGACAATCTCTTAACGATTGGCTTGATCGGAAAAACGTCGCTTTCCAAATTACCGGGTTGTCATTGTCAAAACGGCCAGGGGTGATGCAACCTTGTGTTTGACATGCAGCTATTGGGTGACGCAGCATCCTGGAGGACCAAAAAGTCAACGAGAGGCTCATTATTAACCACACATACATGATGACTAGCAAAAGATGGACGATCTGGGAATCGAACCCAGGACCTACCGCATGCTAAGCGGTCATTATACCACTAAACCAATCGCCCTATCATGATCTAGCCCGGACTTGAACCGGAGACCTTCAGTGGAACAGAGGAGAGCTCGATGAGGAGATATCGGACTGTTAGACTGACGTGATAACCAACTACACCACCAGACCATCTTGTGATGAAGAATCTGCGAAGTGGATGGCTCCAAGTGTGGCTCCCACGATCCCGATGCAGAAGTTCGTGAAGCGAAGAAGATGGTTGGGCACGAGTTGTGGGTGGAGAGTTGGAACTTAGCCCCGTCCAACGGTTCCACAGCTCTAGAAGGCAGGCTTCCTTCGAGCGTGAACAGCGTTCCAGAGGGAGCAGCTTGATAGCCTGATATGCATCCTTCAAAGTCGAATCCTACAGAGTGAGCCTATCATACTTGAACCTACATGGAATGCTGCACTGTAATCGTAAAACGCAAATTAAAGTCAGCCGCAATTTCCGAAGTGAACATGTCTTTATTAGAAATAGAGGAGGAAAATACAAATTCAGTTTCCGCTAGGATAATTTGCGAAGGAATGGATCGTGGCTCTTGTATCTATGTGGTTGAGGTCTAAGGCTGTTGGCAATCCAGATGCAAAGAGCTCGGGCGGGCAACCGTCACTACATTCAGCACCTTTTGCACAAGGCTTAGCAGTACCCAATGGGTCCGGGAGGGAATGGTTTTCCGCTTTAGTATAATCGATTGCTCAGTACAGCATATATCGCCTGTAATCCAGCTGCATATCAAATTAGCCTGCTTTCGAACACAGTTTGTCATGAGAACGAGGCTTATGAACGGGGCGAATCTTAGTACGGCTCGTTTTCATTGCATGAGGCTCATGGGATTTTCTAGATTGGAGTAAAACAATCTAGCTCCCACGTCGACGAGCGGAAGAAAGGACTTTTCCTCCAACGAACTAGAGATCATTGACGTTACAGGCTTATTCCTAGGTTTTGCAAGCTATAATGATCAAAGATCAGCACATATCTTCCGCGAACCATGACAGAAGAATTTCTACATCGAGATTGTCAGCTGGTGAAAGCTGAACCCAAAGTTATGAATAAATATGCACCACGGAATTGGCAAGTAACAGTGAAACTTCAAAACGTGCTAGATGCAAAGAATGATCTCGTAGATTCAAGATAGACTGTTGAACACATTCAAAGAAATAATGGGAACGTAAAATACGAACCACAGCATCTAAACAGGTCGCCTCCCAAAATGCTTTTGAAATCAAAGCTGGTATTGAGTCATCCCCATGATATATCTCTTTACATCTCCCGTCACGTCTCACTTCCTGCCTGAACTGTCGTGTCCCGGAAGACTATACGAATGCTGCTCGAGTATCCGCGTGCTGTAGTTCGAAATCAGTCTACATCGATGACAATTAGCGCTGGGTCTTGATTCATTATACATGAGACCGTTTACTTACCAACTCTCACGATTTGAGCTCAGAATTTGGTGTTTTATCCTTGATGGTAATCTTCAGCTCCAGCTGATCCTTCACCGCGTGACTCGTAACTGAGATATCAACATCCAACGAGCTTGGGAACGTGTACGGATCTGATGGGTTGTCTGATGGAAAGAACCAGTCCTTCGTTGTCGTGCCGTCGTTGTACTTCACTTTCCAGTGAGACTGAATGGGCTTGAAAAAACCGCGCTCGGGAGACTCAACACCAATACAGAAAGACGTCAAGGCCTCCACCTCTTGCCAGCAGAGCATCACATCGTCGAACCCGCTCTTGCCAAAATAACACCCCTTCGTCCACGACATGAATGACTCCCCATCTCTAGGCGTCAAAGTAGCCTGACTGATATCCTGAATCATCCGGACATCGGGAGACGTCGGTACATTGTGCTGCGTGAGCTCAAAGCTCTTGGACGCCAAATTGGTGAATGTGAGAGAATGATCGGGACTAATCATTCTGACGTTTGGGTTGTACATCGTAGTGCTTCCGCGCGAACGGCGCGCGCTTGGTTACTATGTCCTGGGTATATATATCCGTAAGTGTGCAAGGATGGAGTGGTCGCGGCGTCGTCGGGGGTCTGGCCAAGCGTGGCAGAAACTCAGTAATGTGGTGGAAATCCGGATGAAGATGAAAATGGGCGTTGACAGGGGGGCACATTCCACTCATAAGGCAAAGACATGTGAGAAATGGCTTCCGCAAAAACGCCAGGAAAGCTGGCAGCTACCAATGGGTGACAAATTCCTGGGGCAAAGCGCTGCTTCCGGTAAGGAACGATACTTGGCTGGCTCATGGTGACGCGCTCGTGGCTTGCCATTGCATTGTCGTTGTTAATGGATTAGGAATGGTCTATGAACATGATGGGACGGCTGTAAGTGGCAACGACTAAGACCAATGTTGTCTTGAGATTTTTCCGTTTGCGGAATGGGTGGGCTTGTTGCCGTACCTATCCAGAGTCGATTTTGAACGACACCGGGCCGGAATGCGGAAGTCTCAATTCACCCACTTCATCTCGGCCGATCAGTCATTTTGCGTCCTCCGCCTAATCGCCTCATGACGGGGTTGACGTGTGACGAAACTTTGGTCTATCTCGAGTCCATGGAAGAGCTCTTCCGGCTGTATGGAGAACTACTGTCTTCGAACTACTGTTGATGACCGATTGTTTTCTCGTCTTTGGTTCTCCTACTGATTTTGCCGTTTTCCGAACAAAGATATGGAATGTTGGGGGGCCGGCTACAGGCCTCAGTCAGTGCGCGCATTCCCCGGATTCATTGTTGTGCGGGCCGACGCCACGAAGGTGTGGAAGGGTCTCGACCGTTGGCTGAAGTCGGATAGAAGTGCGATAACGCTGGGGGACCAAGATTATAGGGCCCTCATCTTATGAAGCTTTCTCATGGACACTGCTTTCATATTTTGCTGTTTCACTATTGTCAATTGATTGTTTGAGCACCTCAAGATAGGACAGACATGCTAGGTTTTACTCCTCATGAACTTCAGATGTAGTTTCCTTCAACGATGTTTGGGTCAGGCTAGTATGGGATGTGCAGTATTAATCAATCGCTGAATTAGAAGTTCATCAAGCATCCAAGCAAGTCCCAAGTTCAGCCAGTAAGTCCTCGGCCAAGACATCAATAGCGCCAGTCCTCTCATCTTCAATGCCAAATGAGAGGAACAAAACATCATCCAAGAACCCGTGATATCTCTGGTCTTGCCTCTTCCAGCTCATTGAAGTCACATAAAACATGTCGGACCCTCCGCCGAGTTTCTCCTCTCGGCCGTGTATCCATATCGGTCTCTTTGACATTGCGAACACCTCGAACGGGGCCTTTTGTCGAAACACCATCACATACGGTTCGTACTCGCTGTGGAACTGATAAAAGGTTTTATGCTGGAACACCGTAAAGACAAAGGTGTTGTCACTGGTGGCTTGGCAAGTCGGGTCGCTGCGCTTGCAAAACGTGATGCTCAGCGAATTCGTCGCCTGGTGTATCGATTCGAGATCCGGCGGCAGCTTCGGCATGTACTTGCTCATGCAAGCCTCGTCTCCGGCAGCCAACGGCGCGAGATCCGGGCCTACGGAGCCGTCCGCGTTCAACTTCGCAAAGACTCGCTTCGGCGCCACGTCGTGGTGGACGTAGACTGCGCCCTCTTCGTCCCAGAACGGAAACCAGTTCTTCTCCATCATGCCCCAAGGAGCAGGACGCTGGAGCTCCGTTCCCAGACCGAAACCTTGATCCAACGACATCTCGAAGCCCCAGTCTCCGAGAGTTCGGAAGTCCTGCATGAACTGTCCGAAGCAGGCGAATATCGAGTTGGAACCGTATACGATGAACGGGGCTTTGGGTCCGTGCAAGACCCGCGCATCGTGGGGCCCAACGTTCATGGCGATGTAGGCCAATTTCGGTGGGCACTTGTCATCCCCGCTCTTCGTGGCTGCGATAGGTAGAACCGTTGGCGCATCGACGCAGACAAGACCTTCCAGCGTGAAGGTGGCATTGCAAGTGATTTCCACATGCTCAGAATTGTCGTGATTTATTTTTCGCCTTTGCGCAACAATAACATAGGTATTCTCAATGGTAGGATGCGGGATGATATTCGGGTTGATCGCGCCTTCATCGTCAAACCGTATGGCAAAAAACTTCTTGTTGAAAGTTGACGTCGAGAATATCTCATGATGTGTTTGTTTCGACGCGGGCGGATGCTCAGGCGCACTATCTACAGGCTGTACCTCCGTCGGCACGTCCGGAGGCACCGGCCGTGAGTGCGGTTTGAGTTCATCGTCTTGTCTCCAATTCGGTGCAAAGATGTGATCGAACCAGGAATTGAACCCCGAAGCAGAGTCTCTGAAGTCGAGACAACGTATACCGACATAAACGAGAAATAAGAAGGGGCCTACGATGAGGATGACGCGCTTGAAGTCTCTAGCTATCATCGCGAGGTGGGAGGGCTGTCTGCATGCGTCGAGGTGTCGAGACACAAGCGACTGGAACGGGCGGCACGTTGAACGTGGGGTCGCAGCATGCAGAGTCAAGTGACCAAGCTAGTCCTATTGACTGATAACCTTGCGGTGAAAATGTAGGTAGGCTCAATTTTCGATATTGAGAATACGTGAAAGAGCAGTTCCGGGACTTTGGGGGTTGCGCGAAATTTCTCCATAGCATGTGCTGGCCGAGCTCCGGGATGATGGATCACGATTGCATCACAAACAAGAGTTCCAAGGGATGTGGGGGACCTAGGATGCAAGGCTATCGAAGTGAAGCTAAGAGGAAAAACACGGGGAAGCGTTCGGGAGATGTATGCCGTGTGATGGGGATCGACAGACCAGCAAGTGAATACTACCTTGGAAGTTGGAGCTTTCAACTTCCCCTCACTTACAACTTGAGAAGCGCGGCCGACTATTTGCTTGTCAACCCCAGCCACCCGCATTGTTAGTGCGGAGGGTCAGGTAAACTGGGATGTATGCACAAAGCTTAGGTAGTGATGGAGTGTTCCTCAGATAAACTCTCGAGTTTGATCAAAGATTAGCTCCTCAAGCAGAGTGGGTGAGTGGTCAATGGTAATCAGCAATCTCGCTACTTTGAGCATGTGAGCATGTGAGTTGCCTCGGTGAGTTGCGCGAACCCCTGGCCTGAGTTGCAGTCCTATTCCCCTCACGAGCTCCCACACCACTTCCATTTTGGGGAAAGCATCCGCTCTTGCAGCGTCATTGGGTGTGATACAGCTGCAAGTCGATAGGAAAATCAGACACACGAGAAATTGAAGTTCAGGCGGGAAGGGCAAACCCCCAACTTTGCCCGCTGCAGGCTGAGTCAACTAGACAGCGCGTGGCGGACTCAGTCCCGTCAGCACGCTGGCTCAGCCTGGCGGCCCGCGTGGCAAGTTTATCGTCGCTGCATATTGGACGCGCTCTAAAGTTCAACTAGAATAGGCTCAGGTCCATGGCTCTGGGTGGCAGCCAATCCGGTTGCAACTTGGCGTTGAGCACCTAGTTTGTCTGAGCGTCTTGGTCAGGTAGTCTTGCGCGGTGGAACATTGTTGCTAATTGATCAATTACAAGTGGTTTACACTAATCATTACTTCGTGCTAGATGCCGTAAATGTCTCGGCAGTCCCGAAATACATGTGCCCAAACGCCGAATTCCCCTTAGTCAATCTCAAACTTTCGCTGGTGCCGTTGGCAGTGTTTTCCTGTAGAGCCACTGAGCAATTCTCACACTAGGCTCGTCAATGAACCTCGTGACAATCTCAGCAATCCAAAGAGTGACGGGTAAGATTATCACATGAGGAATAAGGAAGGCCGGTTCCAAGCCGAGGGGCCCGATCTTGGGTAGCGGAAATCTGTCAACCAGGTGCGCGAGATGTTGTCGCTCCGTCTCTTTGTGGTATCCAACAGCTGTGTAAAGTCGATCGCCCAGAGTCCCCAGGACTGGTCCGTGGACCAGGTAGAGGGCGAAGGAGATTCGTCCTAGATACTGGCAGAAGCGAGTCTCAAAGAATCTCTTCAGCCACCAGATTCGGGGGACCGCAGATACCAGCAATGTGGCTGCCCAGAAAAGGTAAAACCACTTGTAATCGAAGACGGCTTGAGGCTTGAGAAAAGACAAATAGTACCACCCGCGGTTGTCGCGCATCTTGTTGACGTCCCCGGTGTAAGACGGGACACCACCGAGATACATCGAGACGGCGAAGAGGTGGTAGTAAATGAAGATTTTGGCGGGTTCCAGCCTCTTGAAGAAGTTGGGGAGGTCGTTCTTCTTCGCCAGGAGGTCGAGATCGCAGAGCATCATGCCCATGACAAACATGGCTCCGTACCATCCATCGGCAATATACATGAAGTAAAAGGCCAGACCGGCCTCACACCAGAGTCGAGCGTTTCTGGTGCACCTGGAAAATGCGAGCAGCGATGTATAGACAATGACTGAGCCCTTCATCTCAACAGGGATGGACCAAAGGTGTGGATTCCAGCTGAAGAAAGGACCACCTCCCGTGGTGAAGACGAAACTAAAGTTCTTCAGCTCGCAATAGTAGAGCCAGACATCATCTCTCCAAGTTGGTGCGCGTTCGATATTGTCGACCCAGATATTGAACATGTGGAGGAAGGTCATGTAGAAGAAAGTCGTCGCCATCAACGGAAGATAAAGTCTCAGCCATCGCCTGAATAATGCCGAGCCGACATTTTCTGCGAATTTTCCATGGTCTCCGGACTGGATCAAGCTCAGAGGTTTAGCGGAGAGAACATAGCCGGATATGACGAAGAAGACTGATACTGAGAAGTGGCCTCCCGTAAACAAGTGACGGATGCCGGGGAAGGCGATGAAGTGATATTTGTTTTCGTAGCCAAATGCGTTTTCAAAGATTCTATTCTGGACGTGAGGTTCATGAGCCCATAGTTGATTGTGGTGCCAGTACACCAAGAAGGCAGCGAAACCTCGCAAGCCGTCAAGGTATGCTGTGGGCCGCAGCTTCTCAGGATTTTTGGTGTCTTTGATGGGCCAGAAGAATGTGCTCAGGCTGGAGATATTCAGTCGAGATGGCCTCCTAATTCGTACGAGGGAAGCAGGCTTCCAGTCGCTTTCATCTGCGAGCCATTTGGACTTGTCGCACCAGGTAGGCTTGACTTCATCCCACTCGTGGCTGTCGAGAATGCCTTCGTTCCGTGGAGACATCTTCAGGCTGTTGAAGACTTTGCTGAAGACAATGAATGGTGTGAAAAGGAGTCTTTTCAGCCTCAAGCTGACACTGATGCGTGCTTACGGTCGAGGACGGCCGCCGGGTGTCCTCGCTTGCGTGATGCTGCAGGAGGAGGTGTTCTCGACCCTTGCCTCTCCGGAAATTTTGATGATTTGGGAAAAGAGGCACGGGTTCTTTTCAGTATCAACGAATCCTGCACGGGCTCGTCGGCAGTCATCAGCCAGGAGGTTGCTCCTGGAGTCCTGAGGCGGGTTCGGTCCGGCTTGGCGTTGATCGACTGAACCTTGCGTTGCTTTCTCCACGTAGAGTCAAAGGCACTTAGACTTAGTTCGTGTCGACAAGTCGTTCATCCAGAGTTTCACAAGCCAGGAAAAGAGAAACAACCAGCTGAACCTGACAAAGATTCCTCGGTCGAGCCAAGACAGCATGCGGGGTGGCGCTGTAAGTCCAGGATCAGAGGTCCACCATCCTTCCGGGGGTTCCTGGTTCAATATGCGGGGGATAGACCGGGGTGGAATGCGGAGAGCCAGGCTAAGACTACAAAGTCCAACGACGAAATGATCAAAGTTAAGCGGCGTAGGAGCGATATCACTCATCTCCCTCATCGTGACGCATTTTGTCATTCGTTGGTTGCACCGAGACCGGGCGTCCCTGGCAGCTATCACAAGCGGCGTAGCATTCAGTCGGCCTAGCTTGGGATTATCATCCGACACACAAACCGCTCCTCCGACTCGAGCACTCGGCCGGTTGAGGAGTCCAGAGGGCAAGAATTCCCTCGTGAGATTTTTATTGTCCTCCTGCAAGCCCACCTGATTTGGAAGGTTCCACCGCCTTTGCCTCCCCTGACTATCAGAGCCGTTGGTGCCGGTGGCCAGGATCGGCCCAATGGACGCTCGAACAAGCTCAACGTCCCGGCGCTATTATGGCGCAAAATGCGACCAGCTGCAAATGAGTGGTCCTCATCACATCCCCGCTGGCCTGAATGGCTTCGATCCTCTAGCTGTCTGACTCTTTGTAGTGCAAGATGGTGGCTTGCTGGCAGCTATCCGGCCGCACGAATGAGAATAGGAACCGTTGAGCTCCTGTTCCAGCCTTGCTCGTATCGAATGACATTGTGGACAGCCACTCAAGCTCGCAGAAAGAAGTCCCAAAACTTAATTAGATAGCAGAGGCAAGGCGGTGGCGTCAGTAAGGCACAGACGGGACGAACACGATGCGACTTTACTTTTGGTGACCTCGGCGTTTTCCCTTCTTTACCCTGGCACCCGGCTCGTGACAATGATGTGCAACTGATAGGCGAGGAGAGTGGGGGAATTGGTCGGAACAACTGTAGGGAAATCCCCGCCTCGGCGATGAGGATACTCTGGGGTTGTGTGCCTGCATGGAGAAAGCTCCTCAAATTTCGACATGCATCCCACTCGTCTTGCCTATTCTTATGCTCGTCGCATCTTTGCCAAAGCTTGGTTCAAAAGCTTCTTCGGTTGAACACCTCCACTTCTCTTGGACGACTTTGGCCAACATGTCTTCACCCATCATGAGTCCATTGAGTCCATTGAGCCCTACGGGCTCGACCAAGGCAAACCTGTTCAGAAACAGGGTCCCGACACAACTCAGGAGATGTTTGCCCTTGTACATCGCTTGTGTCTGCATAATTCTACTCGTTCTCAACATCGACTTGTTCGGGTCGATGCCC